TAAGTATACTTTATTAAAATATTAAAATATTAGTAACTCGTTAACCCTTAGGGCTTTTTTAATAATTAGAAGTTTGATTTCATAAGTATTATATTAAATAATTCTAAGTTATAAAAATGATTCTAATAAATACTGTATTTATAATATTAATCTAATTAGTTATAGAGTTTATTATATAATAAAAACTTAATATTAAACTTAATAAAACTAATTTATTCCTAAAAGTAAAACTAGTTCTTAATAAAGTAGGCTGGACCCTAAACAGAAATACTACTATTTTAAATTATTATTATTTAAAGGGCTGTAAACTTAGCTAAGCGGGTATAAGCTTATAAAATAATAATCTAATATACTTAATATTATAATTAATATAAGATCAATTTATAATCATTTTTATTTAAAGGACCGTAAACTTAACCAAGTAAATAGTTTATAAAATAATAATATTATATATTATATTTAATATTATTATTAATTAATCCGTAGTTATAAATTTTATAAATCTTTTTATTTAAAAATAGTTTATTAAAATAGTAAGAGTATTTACTAATATTATATATTAATACGATATAAATAAAATATTTATTTAGTTATTTTATTTTTACTAGTTACTCGGGCGATTCTTGATTTTAAGTTGCTAGTACTTAATTAACGAGGATAGAGATATATATTATAAATCCTTATTTTTTTTCCCGCGATCCCTTGTGTTAGATAACTAAACCAAAGAACAAATGCAACTCATCTCTCTCCTTACGAAAACATATACCAGCTCGAAGGATAGTGATTAACAGGTATGTTATCAGAGCAAAGAAATCCAGCATGTCAGCACCGCACGGAAGCTCTCGGTAAGCGAAGAAGGTGACCCGTAACACACATCAGAGTTGATGATTGGCTGCTGTTGGAGCGAGGTCTCCAACCCACACTGTGTTCTGCCTGCCATCGTCACAAACCAATGAGAGCAAACGTCCCGTGCGCTCGGTCAAGCCCAATCAGGTTAGTATCAGAATGTGTGACTCACACTCTCGTTCCGTGCAGGGGTATCGCACTTCCTTCCTGTGGGCGCAGCTGGCTGCCTTGCGCTCCCTCTCAAGGCGGTACTTGTATCTAGGTATCGTATTTGCGATCTGAACGCCAATACCTCCGCTTACTCGCGCGGCGGGATACATGGCCCCGCTGTACCTTCTAAACAGCAGGGCTTCGCCAACTGCGCCCTTCGCCCTGTTTGCGCATCCGGAAGTGCCGTCCCACAACCATCCGCCCTATTCGTTTTTTTGGCCTATTGCTGCCTTTCAGGCTACAAAAGGTTGCTAATCCCTCCACGCCTGCCTTCCAACCGCCCTCTTTTCCTCCTCCCTCTTCATCACCACAATTTTCCAAACTATAATCAAGAATTACACAGCCAAGGAGGCTCGCCAAAATGCGTTAAATCATCGTCTTCAGTTCGATATCGCTTCAAAGCTCAACACCATTCAGTCCACAACAATTCACGACTTTTCTCCGCTCTACCCTTCAGCTCAACCTTCCCAGGTCGATCTGAACTACACTACGGCTTCCAGCTCTAGCTTTAGTTCCGCCTCCGCAAACATTCTACCCCGAGACTTTTCAGTCTTCACCACGGATTCCCAATCATCATGGCTTCCCTCCAGTTCACCCAGCCTGCCGGCACAACCCGCGCAACAACCTCAGTTCAGCCCTCCGGAACAGTCTCCCCAGCAGGACTTCGTCTTGTTCGATCAGCCTCGCACCAGTCAACCTAGACACTTGGCTACTCACACCGCTCTCGGTCTGAATCAACGTCGTCACTCGTCACATCAACTCCGACAGAACCATCAAGGTCGCGTCCATTTTCAACAGAGGCATCGTCTCGCTCAGATTCAAGCTTCCGGATCCCATTCCCGGTCATCTTCAGTGTACTCTCCCGCTCAGTCAGCTCAGTTCTACGCTTCATCCGCTCCGTCGTCTTCAGCTGCTCTGAACCGCCGTCAGCGTCCTCCTGTACCACTGTTCGCTCAAAGTCTTCAGGGTGCAACCAACAAGATGGATATTCAAGGTAAGTCTCCCACACTCTGGTGTTGCCTAGGACTGTGCTCACACGCCCTTACAGACCTAGACCTAGACGATTTCACCGGCTTCGAGGGTGGTGCGTCCACCACATACTCGTCGCCTGCCATGCCCTCGGTCTTCGACGTCGGCCCTAGCGCTCTCGGCACTGTTTCTCCACAGGACCTGCTCATTCAGGAGCCTTTTATGTCTGCCCCCAACTCAACGGCTTTGACCGCCTTAACCTCGCCTTCGATTTACAATGAATCGCCAGACTTTAACGACGGTTATGACGTCTCCCCCAGCTTTGACTCGGGAGACTTCGGGTCGGCTGACTTTGAAACCACTGCTGGCGATCCTTGGTTCCCACTCTTTCCCCAGGAGTCTACCGCTGCCACAAAAGAAGCCACCGGTGTCGATGAGACCCAGAAACTGCAGACTGATCAGTCTCCTGCTGTTAACGGCGATGACCTGGAAGTGGTCGAGTTCACTTCCACCTCAGGTCGCCGGAAGTCTGTCAATTCTTCCCCAACTAGTTCCGCCCGTCACTCTTCAGTTTCGGGCGTGAGCTCTCGTCGACGAGACAAGCCGCTGCCTCCTATTATTGTGGAAGATCCCAGTGACACTACCGCCATGAAGCGTGCCCGCAACACACTAGCTGCACGCAAGTCGCGTGAGCGCAAGGCCCAACGGTTTGAAGACTTGGAAGAGAAGATTCGTAAGCTTGAAGAAGAGCGTGACCACTGGAAGAGTATCGCTCTGGGTCGATCCTGAACTGTTTTCTCAAAAATTTCAAAGGCAAACCTGGATGAATTGGAGGGATTCGGGTTCACTTTGTGCATTTCCTTCAGCAATGTCCGTCTCCTTGATCCTCTGCTGTTTTTGTTAGTGCCAATTGTTATTCTTGGCTGTAGTCTATTCAATTCACACCAGTTAAAAAAAAATATCTATGAGGTAGATTAGTTTACGACCGGCGGTCTCCCTCACGAGCCAAGGATAGCATACAGATGGTGTGGTACTCCACGGCTTGGACTGCATATCAATCCCAATTTGTTCCTCGTATGATACCGCCCCAACAATATTTCATCGATAAAACCCCACGTTGTCAAATCTCCAATCCCATGCAGGCCTATTCCTAATCTGCCGCCGACATGCATTGGGGCTACTTACTGACCGACCGACGTTTCGCGTCGCCAGGGGGGCAGCATCGATTTAGCCATCGTTCCAATGCGGTCTCCGGCCTCCTCTCTGAACCAATATTCATAAGCCCCGCCTATTTTGGAAGTCTCTCGACGATTTGTTGTATCAAACGTAACGGTGATCGCCAAACCATCACTGAGTCTGTAGATGTGTCAATGATGTTTGCTGGAGCGTTCGATAATCTTTATTTTACATACAGCAACGCCAAGCGCCGTCTTTGCGCGATTTACCCCTTTACAGAACGGCTCTTATGTCGGAGCTTTGCCATGGTGACATGAGCCGTGCTTGGGAGCATTCGAGCCCTCAAAGTCAATTGCCACCGATTCGCTCGCCACCAATTTTGGTCTCGAGGATCTCATTGTTGATGATATCTTTATTTCCATCCCGAAAGTCCTTCATCAGTGACAAGAACCGAGAATTCTTCCATTTGTCTCCTTGTTCATGTTGAACCGAGTCAAGTATCTGTCTCGCTGCCTCCGAAATGTCTGAAGTTGACTGGACATGTTCTGCAGGTGCTTGCTCCGCTTCGTCGAGGCCTAGACGTTCCAAGTCAGGCATGTGGTCAGAAAAGCCCGCGGTTGTTGGTACTTTGAGGGTACCAGTCTCAAGAACCGAGGGTGCGCCGAATACTTGTTGGGTCGTTGAAGCCGTAGCATTGAACGTTTGTATTCTTTGTGCTTCCTCTTGGGCAGAAACATCTGACGCAGAGGTTGTGACAGTATCCACAGATTCGCCGATGGTGCCTTTGGATTCTTGTGTAGCGGCTTCCGGTTGTTTTCCTTGTTCCAGTTCTCGCGCGAGCTGTTCCATGACAGTGTCCAGGTCCTCCATCTGTCCGTCTCCGTGGGCTGCCATCCACTGATTCATCTCGACATCAAAGTCAGCTTCAGTGCTTGTAACTCCGTGATTTACGGCGGTTGCAGAAACGCCTTGAGGCCCGAATAACCAAGGTCTTGAATGCGACCCCATTACGTTCTGCGTAAACCCGGCTACAGGCGCTGGATATTGCGAAGAAGGAGGACTCGTTGTGTAGCTTGCAGCACCTGGCGGTGCCCTGGAGAATGATGCAAAATCTTGCGCCCAACTCGATGTCCCCGGTGGAGACGCCATAGGCACATTCAGCCGAGAAGCTGTCGGAATCTGTGACGTAGATTGGTAGGGGTTGGGTGTGAGGATTCGGCCGTCAGGAGCCACTGCTGTGTGGAACGTTTGGAATACTCGAGGAAAGCTTGAAATGGGCGAGCTGTAGGTTTGGGGAGTGTTGAGGCCGACTTGCCCAGTCCCATTGGAATCGAGGAATTCGCCGAAGCCTGCTTGAGCCGGCGCCGAGAAGGTCTGAGTTGTAGATCGAAAGCCCTGTCATTGTTAGGGGAAATTGCGTGAGAGCACAGAGGCGATGCTTTGGCCTTACTTGCTGGAGACTAGTAGTACTGGAAAACCGATCTCGGTGCAGGCTTCGATCTTGGGCACCATGGTCAACGAGGCCCTTGAACGGCGTAGAGCCGCTACAGGAACTGTCGGCCATTATGAGGGGGCCGGCGAAGGCTCTGTACGGGAAATAATCAGTAATCTCAGCCCTTGAAAAGTACGTTATTCGAGTGCGCAATCAAGTTGCATATAGTGTCTGAAGAGAATGGACTTTGGTGTTTGAGCCTAGTCGTAGTCCTCGGCAAGAGCTTATCGCGCGTTGAGAGAAAGTCTTTGGCTGATATGGTATATGTCTCCACAAAGCGCTACGGTAGATGAAGAGCATTATAGAGAGAAAGTATCCCAACGCTGTGTGGTATTCATAGGTTGGTAAGTAGGCAGTTGTGACGCTTTCATCGACTCCCACATCGGTTTACCTCGGCATCGGCTTGTACGTACCTCTGTGTCAGCGCGCCACCCACACATTGACGGGACTAGAGCCGGGGCAGGGGGAGAGGTCTCACGTGTAAGAAACAGGAAGTCCCGCCCCAGCCGTCGATGTGGAGGGAGGTCACATGGCCCAGGTCACGGGACGGAGCCCCCACCGCCTTCCTCATACGGAATACTTTACTGGCGGCCCTGCAACATGGCCCCATCCCGTTGGCCAAATGGATCTCAAGCTTGGCTGAGGCCAGCTGGGAGCTTCGATTCCCTTAGGTGGCACTTACAGTGACACCTACCAGTCTGCCATTCAACATATACCCAAGTCTTACTCAGGTCTTGATTTCCCCCACATCAACCTATATCTGATGTTTTGATTGAGCGCCGTCCTCAATTCACAACACCAGCTTCTACTCTCCGCAATGGTATGGCTTCCCACCGAACACTTGGCAGTCCGCTTCGCTAATATGGCTCTTTACGCAGGCGTCTGCCCAGGTCATATCGAATTCTGGTCACGATGATATGATTGTAAGTGCCTCTCCGAATCAAATTAGACGTTTCCGATCGCGGTTCTACTCGAGACGGGGAAATATACACCATCGACGCCTGTACCAAGGTGTGCGATTGGCAGTCGCCTCCTTGTCCCGCATGTTCCATCAAGCTAATAGTCCGCCCTCCTAACCAGCACGATGCCGTCCTCGATTATTATGGACGTCGCCTTGCAACGTGCTCGAGCGACCGCACTATCAAGATATTCGAAATCGACGGGGACTCCCAACGACTTGTCGAGACCCTGAAAGGGTGAGCATTGCACATTCGAGACCTTCGGGAATACGGGCTCACTACTCCTGCTGACTCTCTTGCAGACATGATGGCGCAGTTTGGTGCGTTTCATGGGCGCACCCCAAGTATGGAAACATTCTAGCTTCGGCAGGCTATGACGGCAAGGTCTTCATCTGGAGGGAACAGAACAATCAGTGGCAGAAGATTTTCGACTTCGCTCTGCACAAAGCTTCCGTCAATATTGTCTCTTGGTCACCACATGAGTCTGGGTGCCTCCTGGCATGTGCTTCTTCGGATGGCAACGTGAGTATACTCGAGTTCCGCGACAACAGCTTCGACCATGTGACATTCCCAGCCCACGGATTGGGCGTCAACTCTGTCTCCTGGGCCCCAGCCACAGCGCCTGGAAGCATCGTCAGCAGTTCTCCTGGCCCTGGTTCGGCTGGTGTGAGGCGATTTGTCACAGGCGGCTGTGATAACTTGCTCAAAGTCTGGGTTTTCGACTCAGCATCGCAGTCGTACAAGCAGGAACAGGAGCCTCTTGCCGGTCATACAGACTGGGTTCGTGATGTCGCGTGGTCGCCGACGGTCCTACAGAAGTCATACATTGCGTCAGCCTCTCAAGACAAGACGGTTCGCATCTGGACATCGGATTCGTCGAGCGCTGGACAATGGAACTGCAAGGTTCTCAATTTTGATGCAGCTGTGTGGAGAGTTAGCTGGTCTCTGAGCGGCAATGTGCTCGCGGTCAGCGGAGGCGATAACAAGGTCTCATTGTGGAAGGAGAACCTCAGAGGCGAATGGGAGTGCGTCAAGAGCATCGAGGAGTAATACAGACATCCATGTAGCGTCATTGGCAAGGCGTTCGCGGCAAAATGGGTCATAGATGGGTCATCACGTATTTGAACTCGTGAAATTTTTGTCGTTTTGGAGTTGATACAACCGTTACGGATGACATGAACCCAGACTATCGCTTACACACCGTAGAGTACTACTCGTAGGTAAGAGTGTACTCTCGGTTTAACTAAACATTTGTTTGCTCGTTGGATCCGGTCATTCCAATACTGAAAGTATCTATAGCTGATTCTCAGAAAACGATAAGCCCTGCCACGCCCGCCCCTCCCATGAAAACTAATACCGAGATCGCAAGGCTGCAGGAAGAGGCGAGTCGAGAGGGGACTAAAGTTGCTGCAGCGTCTGGTGATGATGTTGGAACGGGGGCGGCCGGAGAACTCGTCGAGACTGAGACATCGGTCCTCTGAAGGACATATATTTCACCCGTCGAATCTGATGTCATGAAAAGTCTCTGCTGGCTATCCCAAGCAAGTCCTACCGGGCGAAAGCAGTTGTCCGGGCAGCTACTGGTGTCTGCGTTACTCAAAACATCAGTGATTGGTGTCCGGCTATCGGCCGACTCGGTAGGCTCTCCATTCGAGAAAGTTATGCTGGATAGCTTGTAACCGACAGCCAAATCTCGGTTCCCTAGACCGGTGTAAGTCATCGAACTAAATGTGGACAATAAAGCTCTCGTGCTACTTACAACTGCCATGGAATGTTACAAAGGCTTCTGAGCCATCGGGCGTGAATTTTATATCCAATGGAGCAGTGTGCGCCTGGAAAGATAGTCTCGGGGGCACATAAGCGGAATTACAGGTTGTATCGTTCAGGGTACGTGATGGGGTGAGAGTGAACTGATCTCCTGTGGTCATGTTGCCTATGTCGGGAAATCCCTCGGTCGACCAGACAGCGAAGCAACTTGGATATCCATAATTGCCGCCTTGACCATTGTTAGAATCACTGAGGTGTCCATGAAAGTTGAGTTTTTCGGCAGGATTGTCAGTGTGAATGTCAACGTTGTTCCTCCTCAACTGGTCCGCCGAGTTCTCCACTGTCCATATACCGCCTGTGACGGGCTCTTCTGCCACGCCAACAGAGTTCCGCAGTCCCCATCCTAGCATCCTTCCCTGAGTTGGGAAACTGAGCGGCCCAGAGTTATCATCCAGGCTCCCGATGTCAAACGCACGAAGCTGGGAATGCCCAGACGACTGGCTGATGGCAGCCTCGTCAATGTTGGACGCGCTACCTCTCGATACCAAGAGTATGCCTGGACTTTTCTTGGATAGCAGTAATGTCCGGGTAGTGTGGTCAGTATTGCTCATATTCGTTATGAGTGTCCTATTTGTATCGCCAACAGTGGCACCACTGCCATCATATGACCAGGAATATACCTTGTCGGCAGTCGAGGCATACAGAGTTTTTCCATCCGGGGAGAGGGCTATTCCGTGGTTCAACTTTGGGCCGCCGGACACAGTACAATAAGTAAGCTCGCCACCAATACTCAGTCTCTAGAGTTGTCATACCTCTGGAGAATCAATAATTGTTCGTTTCTCGGCCACGGATACGCAAGTGCCGCCATCGTCAGTCAGCTTCAGATGTTTTACCCCAGAGTTAGCGTCGACAACCAGAAGAGCTCCCTCATTATCGAAAAGGATGCTTCTAGGCCGAGTGAATCCGTTCGCGATTAGACGATATGTCCAGCCACCGCCAGCAATGGGCGAAGTATACGTTGCTTTCAGGGTATTTCGGCACTCCTCGGCCAAGGCCGCAGGAAGTTGAGTGGCGGCAAGAATGTGCAAATAAAGTAAGAGAATCATGTTGTTGGTGGTAGGCACGTACATGCGGGGATGGAAAAGCATGGCGAATGTAGAGAAAGTCGTAAACGGATCAGACCTGAAGCCGTTGTTATAATGCGGAGAGGCAGGTGTCGCTATTCTATGACGGAAGATCACCCTGTGTTGCATTGAAACTTAGCTTGGACCGACGGTTCAGCCAAGAAATGATGCTACACTTATTTGTGCCGGGGGAGCTTGGCTCGGATTTGGGGCTGCATTAGTGTGCCTGACGCTGATCCTCCCCAAATGAAATGGATGGGGAAGAGGATGCGATGTCTCTTTTGTACGAGGGCTGCTTCTGTCTCTAGATAGTCAGTGGTTCCGTTACAACAAGGACATGACGATGACGAGAACGTTACTCCTGGGATCCTCACAACTATCAACTATGAGCCCACGTATCAAGTGGCAGCTATGATCAAGAAAACGTTCTTGTTTGATTATATGAGAAATGACCCATGACTAATGTTTGCCTTGGTCTGACGCACCTATGAACACACTCAACATAAGCCTCAAATAACGGTCTCGCCATTGAAAACGAATGTTGCCTATGCATGGCCGATGAAGTCCACTAACCATTTCGCGTATGTTTTCGAAGAAGTAGACGTAAGGAAACCAATATTTCAACCCACAAAGCCAGGCTGCGCTACACCATGACGCCCATTCCCGACCTCTCGCCGCCCAAGATAGTAGCCAAGCTTATCGGCCTCATCGGAGGCCGATTACGCTCATTTCCAGCGTCCAAACACGTCTGATCCAGACCTTCAGCTTTCCTTCAATGCCCTCAACATTGTCAAGCTCCACTCCCTCCCACCAGCAGCGTCTCGCAGGCTTCCTCCAAAAGAGGAGCAGTTTCTGCGCCATGCCAACGGCATTACTGCCCATATCGTTACCTCTGATATCGCTTCGTAGGCGTGCCAGTGCCAGGCTGCAAACGACCGCCTTATTCGGTTCTCCTGCTCTGTGACCCCAGTTGTCGTTATGATTGAACCCGCTAGTAAATAATTAGCTCTTGTTAAGAGCCGGTCACATGGTATGCTGGGGGGACTTACCCTGCTGTAAGCATTTCGATGAGGTGAGCTTCCGTAGTACCGGGCTCGTCACTGCGCTTGAGACCCGAGAAAATGCCCGTCTGTTGAAGAAGAGCTCTCCCAGCCGCTCTCTTGACTTCCATCATCTCTGGTTGCGTGATATCGGCCCGTGGAGGTATGACGTAGAAGTCGAGATCCTCCCTCAGAACGATGATGCCAGCTCTCTTCGATGAATCGTCTCTTGAGCCCATTGGGTCTCCGGTCGCGGGATCCTCCTCCTGAGAACCACTCGGAGATGAGTCAACAGGTATCGACTGCGCAACGGTGCGGAAGAAGTCCAGCATATACTGCAGGGATGCCGGGTCATACTGTCGGGAAGTTGTCAATAACCGATATGCGCTATGTAGGTCACTGTAGTAATTTGTACTTACGTCCACTTGCACTGCATCGCCCTCAGTAAATCCTCCTATGTGCCCCTCCGGGAATAGGCCATTTGGGAACAACGACAGAAGGACAAACTCGGGCAGCGTCAAGAGTTCATCTCTCGATAGAACAAATCGGGTGCCCCTGCACATAACAACGGTTAGCGTTCAGGGTAGGACGTCGGATAGAAGCAAACCCTACCGAAGGTCCATCGCGATCGTCTCGTCGGCACCAACATCTGCCAGTACATTAGTCTTAACTGAATCGATCTAGTCATGTAGGAACTCACCTCCAATTGTATTGATAGGCGGCCCTCCTTGTTGCACCTGAGTAATAATACTCGACGCGCCTCCGGCGGTAGCCATCAGAAAGGCAAATGATTGGAGTGGACTGGGTCCCTCCGAGTATGCGGGGGGTGGTTCGGCGTTGTCGTCCTTTCCGGATGAGCCCCCTTTGGTGTCTCGAGGAAGCGCACGCTTTGTTTCTGCGAGAGCGTGATCAAAGGAAGTCGGAACCGATTGTTCTGTAGAGAAGCCTGGAGCTAGAGATGCATACGACGGTGCAGCAGGGGATGTGCTAGCGACTGTGACTGTGATCGTAGAGCGGAGGTCGTGAGCCGGCTCGGAGGCGTTTTCGAGTGAATCGCACACTGAAGAGAAAGGTGGCGGCCGGGAGGTTGATGCTTCGGAGGAGGGATACTGAGGAGGAGGGGGAGGAGCAGGAGGTGACTGGGCGCTGAGGCTAGACTCTCCTGCACTTTCTTGCTCGGTCTTTGCTGGTAGCTGAGGAGAATGTTCTTCTTGAGGAGTGGTGACTGTACGCCGGGCGGACACGGGCTGCCCGTTCCTGACGTTTTGCGAGCCTGGCAACGTGTTGGCGGTTTCGACAAGATATCGAGGATCGGATCGTTGCTAGATACGAACAAGTAGGGTAACTCGACCTCTTCTCAGCTAGTTGCAATTGATGGCATTCGTTGACAGGCTCTTTATTCAGGGGCTAATGCGAGTGCCAAATCAATGTTCTGTTTGTAACGCTCTAAGCTCGGATGGCGATGATGATTCCAGTGACCAAAGTGGTTTGAGAAGGGCAGACGTGTAGAGAGAGGGAAGGAGAGGAAGAGCGACGGGATGCTCGCCAAAGGGCAGTTCGTTTAGTAGAGCGCGAAACGGGGTAAGAAAGGTCGCCTTGCAAGCGCAGGGGTGGCAGGCGTATGCTAGGCCTAGAGAAACTAATGGTTGATTGCGAGTGTCCGAGCAAATGGTGGATGATGGATGGGAAATTGGTCGTTGGGGGCAGTTTGATGAGGTAGAATAAGCAGGGGAGGATGGCGGCTATTTCTCTACCTGTAACCTCAGTGACCAAAAAGGTAAGCCCAGGTACAGAACGCTTTTGCCCAGTCAGGACCAGTATTACGTCTGCGCGCCTGCATGAGTCTGCTGAATGATGCCCCGGAGTAAGAGGTCACCCCATAATGGATCTCCGCTTTAAGACATGGGAAATCGGAGCTTGCTTTGCCTATTATCCTACCGACATTTTTCAAAATTGATAAAATTACACGTAATTTAACACTATTTTATAATTTGTATTCAATATATATGATATCTTACGTTTCAAAATACAAGTTTAATAAATATAAGCTTGTACTGAGTTATTTTTAATAATCTATTTATAAGTTATTTACTTAAGAAATAGAACTGTTATATTTAAAAGAAGAATAGAAAAAATAATAAAATTCGTTATATAAATAAACCTCTTTACTATAAGTTAGGGTTAGAAATAAATATTACTAGTATTAATATATTAATAATATATTAATTAAATAAATTATATAATAAAAATAATTAATTATTTTACTATACTATTTTTATTAGCTACTTAGATGATTTTTTAGAATTATTTATATAGTATTAATATACAATATTAATAAATACTTTTACTATTTTAATAAACCATTTTTTAAAGAAAAAAATTAAACCTTTCTTATTATAAAGTTTATATTATAGATTTAAAAGATAATTATATTTTATTAATTATAAATTAAGTATTAAACTGAATATATTATATTTAATATTATTAATAAGTAAATAACGTATTTAATAGTGTATTAAAATAGTAAAAATATTTACTAATATTATATATTAATACTATATAAAAATATTAAAAACTACTTAAGTAATTAATAAAAGTAAAATAACTCAAATAAATATTTATATAGATAAATTTATAGGTAGAATTAAAAAATAAATAAATAAAATTATTAATAAAAACTTTATATTAATTTATATCTTTTTATATTATTTATAATATATTAACTTATATAAAAACTTAGTTTAACGTACTTATATAATAAGTAACGTATTATAATAAATAACGCACTCTTCGTAACTTTTTAACTTTTTTTTATAAATTAACTTAGCTATAATATATAAAATTAATTAAAATTATATATTACCCTCCTTTTTATTATTATCTTAAATTATTTTATAAGTTTATACATTATATTTAAGCTTCCTATAATTATTATATTATTACGCACATAGTTTAATACTTTTTATATAACCCTCTTTTTAAAAGTTATTTTTTCTTTAATATTAATACTACCTTTTTTTATTTTTAATATTTTTATTTTAATATTATTAAGTAACTTTTTAAAATATAACTAGGTTTTTTTTATTTTTTAGTATTTATTTAATACTTTTATCCTTATATAAAACTTATAATTTTTTATTTTAATAATAATAAGTTTATAAACTAACTTATTAATATTTTTAATTTAAAAACTAATTATTTTATATATTAATATTAGTAAATTATTTTAATATACTTAGATCTTATTTTTAAAAAAAGTAGTACTTTATATACTTTTTAATATTATAATTAATATTTTTAAGTTCTAAAAGCCTTAATTACTTAGCTATAAGTTTAATAATATTAGCGTTTTTAGTTTAAAATTTAAGTAAAAAATAACTATTTTAGGGTTAAAAAATATAAAACTTATTTATTTAAAACTAGCTTATATATTATTTTTACTTATTAAAATAAAAAATACTATTTTAAAAATAAAAAAGAAGTCGTCTTTTATAATATACGAAATTTATATTTATATTATTTTTTTAATTTTTTTATTATATAAGTATTTTAATAAGCTAAAATACTTAATATTAAGAAGTTAAAACTTGTATAATAAATAGGGAGGTATATAAAAAGTAATAATATTTTATTTTTTATAATATTTATTAAAGTTAGTTAATTTATAACTATTATAGTTATTAAAAATCAAAAAGTAATAAGAGCCCTTTATATGAATCCTTATATACTAATTAAAATACTTTAACTAATTTAAGCTAATATTATTAATTATTTATCTATTCTTATTTAAATAAATATATTATATAACTAAGAATTAGTTATTAATATACTAAGAGAAGAGGTAATATTTATTTTTTATAATAATATATAAAATAGTACCTAGCTATTTATATATATACTTTAAATAATAAAAACTTATTTTTAATTATTAAGTTATTTTATATAAAGCCTTTTATTATAATTAAAAATCGTAATAATTTTTATATATAATAGTATTTTTATTAAAAAGCCCGTTTTATTAAAATTATAAATATTATTATTATATATTTTATATTTATAATTATATTTTATATAAAAGTAAATTAGCCTTATATAATAATAAAATCTTTAACTAAGGCCCTTTAATAATTAATTCGATATTAAAATCGTATTTTTAATTTAGGGATACGTTATATAAAGTTCTTTACTTATTATAGTTTAGTATATATTTTATTATATATATTTAGGAATTAATTAGCTATTTTTGATACGTTTTTTATTATAAAAAGAACCCTTAATTAATTAAATTAATAACTTATTTAAAAACTACCTCTTTTTTTATTATAATTACTTTTATTAAATTTAATTATTTTTTATTTTATATATAACGTACTTATATAGCGAGCGGGCTATTATAGCGAGCGGGCCACTCCTTATTATACCTTAAAAATCGATTTTTAACTATTTATTAAAAATCGATTATAAATTTTAAATATATAAAACTTTTTAAATAAAATTTATAATAAACTTATATAGTAAAATTAAATATTTAAAAAATTATAATTTATATATATAGCTTTTAAACCTTTAAAAAAAGAATTTTTTCTTATCTTAGACCCACTTTAAACTTATATATATAATTAAGCTATATATAATTTTTAAAATATTTAATATTATACTATAACTCTTATTAAAATATAATTAAAAAGTTATATATATTTTAAACTTATATTCGATTTTTAATAAATAATTAAAAATCGATTTTTAAAGTATAATAAGGAGTAGCCCGCTTACTATAATAGCCCGCTTATTATATTATTACGGCTAGCTAGTTATAATAAGTATATTAATAAAAGTTAAGGCTACGATAACTAAATAAATAATATTATAATCGTAAATAGCTTCCCTAAAGTTATATTTATAAATCGTAAAGTAAATAAAATTTTAGTAATTAATTATAGTCTTATTAAAAAAGGTTCTTAATAAAAATAACTAAAAGCGATTATAAAATTTAATATTAAGTTAATTATTAAAAAAGCTATAAAAAGTCTATTCTTAAGCTTAATTTAAGTTTATATTATATATAAGTTTTATTTATAAATATATTTTTATAATATTATTATTTATAATTACTTAACTATTTATTAAATAGTTATCCGTTCTATTTATATATAATTATTTATTTTATTTTTTTATAAGCGTCCGTTTTTTATTTTATTATATAATTATAATTATATAACTTATTTATAGTTTTTTTATTTTAAAAAAAGTTATCTTAGGTTCGTTTTTTTTTATATATATAATATAATAGTTATTATAAGTTTTATAAGGCGCCCCCTAGCCTTATTATATTTATTAAATTATAATATTAACTTCTCTTTTTAAAAGTCTAGTCCTCTAAGCTTATAAATAAATTATTTATTTTTAAATTAGGGAATTATTAAGTTTATTTTATTAAAAAATATACTAATATAATATTAAGTCGAATTAAAAAATTAAAATCTTAGGTAGCCGTATTTTGTTATAAGTTATTATATATTATTTGTTTTTTTAATAAAAGTATAAAAATAATACTTTATTTAAATTATTACTCGCGTAGTATTTAATATTTAATTTTTTTTAATTTTAATATTTATAAAATATA